GAGATCAAATTGTGGCTAACCAAACCACAGACTACCTCATCCTATCTCTACCACTGCATCTAGGAAATCCAATAAAATGAGCAAAATTTTCATGACAGGAGTTGTGTAAAACTGTTGAAACACCAAACCAAGCAAAAACAGATAACCATACAGAATAGGCATAATAACATCCAAATAATAGGTGAGAGGTATTCTCCAAATCTTCACTACACCAAAAACATCCACTAGCAAAAATATTAAGAACCTTCCACTTAATTAAGTTACATTTACTTGGTATCCTATTCAGCAAGGCTTTCCAAGCAAAACCTGATACTTTATAAGGTACACAACTAGACTAGAGAAATTTATGAAGCGAAAAATCTGCGTAGATACCATCATTAATCACCGTCTTGTATGCTGATTTCACATTATATATCCCATCATTAGAATCCTTCCAACACCACCTATCACAAAAATCATTCTTTAAGATAGTTGATCCTAAATCAGCAGCTAATTGTGATAATAAATCTAATTCTCATTGAAATAAACTCCTACGCCAAGACCAAATCCACTCAAAATCTCCATCCCTCCAGGAGAAGAACACCTATCACTTCTCCTAGTGTTTGCCATCACTAGGATTCACACTTCCTTAATGTCACTTGTTAAGGTGCACCAAAGAGACACCCCACACACATGTTCACATTAGTATGATATTGTTCATTTTTTGCCAAAATTCTCATAGTTTTACTTTTGATAATCTTCTAAAAGACTTCATACCAATAGAACATGTGTATACTTTATAAATTCATGATTCTTCTCCTTTTCAAATGATATTTGACTTTAATTGTACTTTATATCATATACTAGAAGATTAAATTTAAAATAAGAAATCAAAAGGCAAACTTATCTCAAATTTTTAAAAATAAAGATATATTTAACTCTTTTATTTATTAAGGAGATTAACTTATGAATCATCTATTTTATATATATTTTTATTTTTTTAACATTCTTAAAAAAATCTACCCAGCCCAAACTATAATTTGATGGGCTCAACCAATTGACATCACTAAATCTACATCAATAACTTGATTCCATCATTAAAATTTAAGAGAAAAGTAGAGTGTAATTTCTAAAGTAAGTATAATATAATTTAAAATTTAGAGACAAAGTATTTGATACTTTGTTATATTCTCCTTATTAAATGAAATTTTAGTCCTGTATATCTACTAGCGGAATTGTGGATACGAATTATTACAACCAATGTGGTGGCGGCTAGCATTTTGATGGTGATTTGAAGCACAAATAGAATCTGTACCAAAAGAAAATGAAGGATATTATTATGTGCGTCGAGAAATGAGGAAGCAGATTATATGTGAAGTTGTATCTAAATAATGTAAGGTCATTTAGTGAACAAGTCAAAATTCTTTCAACTGTGGAGTGGGTAGAATAGGGAAAAGTGGGTAAGTTGAGACTCAAAGCAAAGTGCGTTTTGATGTAAAATAATAAAGTGAGAGAAAGGACATAAGTAAACAATGAAAGGGACCACACTAGTGGTTATTAATTAGTTAAGGATGAGAGAGAGAAATGAGTATGGTTTTGTATATTATTTTATATTGCAACTATATGCTAATTAGTAGAGTGAATGAGACTATGAGACCTCAATCCCTTTCCAAATAATGTTCCTCCCAATTATGGGTAACACGATTATATTTTGGAAATCGATTCATGTACAGACAAAAAGAGAACCAGGCAGAGAGGAAAAATAATGCAACTTAAGATACACTTCCTTATAAATACTAGGCCAAATTATAGTAGATGCAACTTGAAGATAGTAAAAACTACATGTTGATGTCGTAGGTTGTTGCGTTTCAAAATGATTTAGAAAAATATCAAATTATTTTTAATACAACACGAAATGATGTTGATTAATTTTTAATGTAGGAAATTAATACATTGTATTCTTAAAAAATATATTCAACTGTTAAATTTGATTACACCAACAGTTTATAATAACTAATAAGGATTCTTTAGTTTTGGGCCCACTCTTGTTCTTAGTATGACAGAAATGGTAGGCCCAACGTTCAAAAGCAAAAAATCAGGTCTGGATTGAGGAAAGAATATCCAAAGGATATATACACCTCCTTCTTTTTACAAGGACACCTTCTTTATATTTTTTTAAAAAAAAATCTTAAAATATTCATAATGTTTTTTATTCTTTAAATTTTTAATTTCACATCTCTAACTTTCAATTTACTATTTTTCTTTTCACACACTTTCTTCTTTCTTTTTTCCAGTTTTCATAAATTTTATCTTGTCTTCCTTTAATTCATCACCTATTTCAGTAGATAGCTTTAGTTCTCTCGATTTTTATATTACTCTCTTGTTTTCACACTTCTTTCACTTTTTCACATGCACACAAATCATAGAACTAGTAGGTAACAACATTATAGGTACGTGTAGCTTCCTCAACAGTTTCTATCAAACTAGACACACATTTTTTCTTTCAACACTTCCTTTCCTTTCACCTTTCCAAAAACCTTAACATTAAGTTTAGTGTTATGAAAAAAATATTTTTACTATTCTAGAGTACTATGCAGATAGCAAAATCAATGAAAAAACTAAAAGAGGAAGGGAAAAAGAATAATGTAAAACTAAAAGAATTAAAATTGTCTATCAAAATAGGTGAGGTGAAGAAAAATTAAGGAGATGCATGTTAAAACAAGGGAAAGAAGTATAAAAAAAATGTTAAATTAAATGTTAGAGGAAAAATTAAAAATAATAAAAATAAAAAATATTTTAAGAATTTAAATTTTTTTTAAAAGGGTGTACTTATAAAAAAAAAAAAAAAAGTGTATATATCATGATCCATATCCCAACTGGGCGGAGCCCAATCTTGTTAGTTGTTGATTGCTGGAGAATAGAAATGTGGCCCAACTTCTACCATTCAGCTTCACAGTAAATAAAAATTGGAAGAGTTTTTTATTTACATATTTTTTGCTTATATTTTAAAAAAATATTGTTCGTTAAAATAAATTGATACAATTAAGTATCAATTAATTTCTATATTATATAAAATCTTAAAAACTTAATCCACTTTCGAATAATTTTTCCAGTTCATAAATTATATATAACCTCTTAAGTAAGATATTTAACTTCAGTATCATAAATATATAAAGTTAAATATAATTTTATCAAGAGTCAATCTTAACTCTCATTCTTTTCATAGCCGTTGATTCAATTCTTCCTATTATTAAAATCTTATTTGATGGGCAAATCTCCTATCAAAGAAATCTTTTGGAAGTCAAATAGTTGCAGTAGAGTAAAATTGATTGTGGTTTGAACTTTGAAGTTGTATAACAATCTTCTGAGTGAGTGTCTAACTGCAGTTTTCAATATCTCATTGGTTCCCTAAGGAGATTATTGGAATGCAAACCAATTCTATCACACTTACTAAAGGAAAAATGATGTTTTTATTAGATTGATTATTGATCATGTACTCATGAGTAACCATGTTGATTAAGATAGATGAACTGTTCAAGAGACACACTAAAAAAAAAAAAAAAAAGGCCTAGAATGGTTCTGCCATGGAAGTAGTGAAATTACCTCCCCCGGCAACATATTATATATATACATATATAAAATAACCATATGTTTTGATATAATATTACTTTTTAAAAGAATAATTATCTTTTTGAAACTTTCTCAAGAGGTTGATAAAAATAATAATAATTATATTTAATATATTTTTAATTCTCGTAATATACTTACTTTTTTATTTTTGTCTTAGTAGTTTTTTTAACTAGTTTATGCAATATTAAAAAAAAAACCGTTAATCTCAGTCAGTTTCCGTTAACTGTGTTACTTCAACTTATTGTGTGTGGTACGCGTCACTTTGTTTTAAACCATATTTAGTTTAATTTTTATAAATGTATTTGCCTTTATTTTAGCCTTTATAAATATATCATACTTTATAATTTAGTGTCTAACTCTTTAAGAAACTCAACAGTTACTGGTAAAAGGGTTCGATGTAAACAAATTCAATATTATACAGGTTATTTTAAAAAAATTATAAAGACTAAAAATATTTAAATTATAATTATTATGTTGAAGGATACACTAAATAGAAAGGGTTAAAATACTCCTTTATTTGTTAAAGTTTTGTTTAATTTATTCTTTAATTATTATGATTTAAAATAATTCATTTTAATTTTTATACTTATATATATTTTTAATCTTTTTAGTTTTTATAATTTAAAATATTTTTTTTTAATTTATATACTTATTATTTTTAATCTTTTAGTGCTTATCATTGAATTCTTTTATAATACTATTTGTGTTGTATTGACATGTTAGAAGTCTTCAATTTTGTGAGAATAAAAAAAATGTCTTAATAATAAACATCACAAGTGAAAACATAAAAGAGACATAAAATATCGAGAGATTTAATTTAGAAAAATTTTGGAAAATAAATTTGACATAAGACACACAAAGTTAAATTAATTAATATCTTTGTCACGTCAATATAAAAGAGATAATTTTATAAAAAAAAATTAACAATAGAGACAAAAAATTAAAAAAGACTACAAGTATAAGGAGTAAAAAGAATTGAAAAATATAAGTATAAAAGTTAAAAATATATATTTTAAACCGACTAAAAAATAAAATAAATAAAATTACTAAAATAATATTTTATTCAATAGAATCGGATACCAATAAGTCAAATCTGAGTGATACTAAATTTCATATGCTTAAATAAAGTTTTAAATTTGAATATTATGTATTAAAAAAAAACATGATTGAGATAGAAAATTTTACTAAAAGTGATTAATCAAATTTTTTAAGAGAAATTTGTAATCGATAAAATTAGTGATAATAAGTTATTATGTTCTGATAACATGATTTAAGAAAAAAAAACAAGTAGGACCCGTGTGAGTTGGATTCGTCGAAAATGTTTTTAAGTTCAGCGCTAACCATGCATTCATAACCGCTGTCCGAACCAATACATAGGAACAAACAGAATCAAGTATGAAAACAAACCACCTCAATTTGTCAACTTAAGTCTGATAAGAGTCCAAAAGATATTAAAAAATGAAAGCACACAAGCCATTTCCAGTAATTGAAAAACAGAATTACAAAATCCAAAAAAGAAAAATGAAAGAAATGATGGATGAATCGAATTTGAATGAAGAAGATGGTGTGGAGTAATAATGCATTTCACGCAAAACGTCCAAAACCAATTGCCATATCGACAAAAACTCCAAACAAGAGAATTGCAAGACCCGTGAAGTTGATCAGATGAGACTCTCTTTGGTGTGGCAGTAGTTTCAACATAGTATACCTCTCCATCAACCCTGTTAGTGCAGCACAAATTGCCATGAAAAATAGTGCCCTACCACCAGCCACGTGCCATGGGGCCATCGCAGCCCTCGATTGTCCTGTTCCTTGAAGCATGAACGCCAGTCCAAAAAGCCACTACAACCATACCAATTATTCAACTTTTTACCCCACTTATATATTATATATTTGCTCCTCATCATACTTTAATCATGTAAAGTTAAAATATTGTAAATGATAAAATGTAATAAAAGAGAGAGACCTTATACCAAAGAAATTTATTTAGATATTTTAACAAAGATTAATCATTAAATCTTTACTTAAATACTTTACACATACATTATTCCTAACATCATATATAGAAGGGATCACCATGTGTTTAGTTAAATTTTTCCGTAAATACTTATAAGATTATGTGAAGTTTTATTTTCATATATAGAGATGCATTTTTCTCTCTTGATTAGGGAAAAGTGTAAGATATACCTGCAAGCCAAACAAGCAAAAGGTGCCAATGCCAATCCATGAATGGAGGCTGTAAACGTCTTCGAAGTTGACCATGTCATGGAACTTGAAAGCGGCGCAAATACCAACAATCCCAAGAATTATAGCAATCAAATGAAGTGTCATGTGAAGGATCTTGAGTGTTTCATGTCGTCCAGGCACCGTTTGGTATGCTAGTATTGCTGCTCAAATTTCACACCAACCTAATTAATCACTCTAGAAAATGATACGGTATTTGTGTGTGCAATCTGCAATGCATCACACAAACTAAAGTTGTACACAATTAATACGTGAAGGAAAACAAATATATATGCTACTTAAATTGGAATGACAATTGCATACTTTCGATGAATTCTATGCAGTAAGTAATTAGCAAGTAGACATAATTAACTCTACGACAGAAAGCAGGCGATGTGAGAGTAAGATACCTTGGCCAACAAGGAAAATGAAGCCGAAGAACATCAAAAAAGGGTGAACCTACAAGGTGGGAAAAAGACTAAGATGAAGTAGAAAATGATATTGTGTGTAGCAAAGACAAAGACATAGGAAGTGGTGTTACATTAAAAACACGGAATGGATTTTCAGAATCATATTCAATCCCCTCACGGTAATGCAGCAACCAAACAAGCAAGAGTATGAGGGCAAGGAGGCCAAACAAGTGTGCAAAAACTGTGGTACCGTATGAATTCATTTTGTTGATTTAGGTAGGAAAGAGACTAATTAGAGAAACTTGTTATAAGACAAATTTTTGCTGGTTCTGACATGCTGCGGTTCAGTCTTATAGAGTCTCCCTTTTGATAAAGTTCACAAAAGAGGGAATTGCTTGATCTCATGGTTTTGGAATTTTGAATCAACAAGAAACTTTGGGCATAAGCCAACTCTAGCTGTATCTAAAGTATATATTCTTATGTTAGAATGGTTTCCATTTTTTCTCTACTGCTATGTATTTATACTGTATTCTTTTTGCATAGGGATTGATGGATGCCTAGGTGTCAGAGTATTACACACTACAAACTACATGTAAATGAAATTAATTTCTGTGTAAAAGTCTAACTTTTTATCTGACATGATATAAAAACATGAACATAAATCAAACATAGTTTAGGTCTTGATAATTTTTTTTAAATAGTGATTAAAATTAATAATAAAGTTTTATTAAAAATTATACAATTAGAGATGCATTAAAAAATAGCTTATAGATATTCTAATAGAAAGTTTATTTTTAATTTTTTTAATCAATATCCTTGATACTATGAGAGAACCAATCCTAATAAATTATGTCTGGAGGTGTGATGGCTAAGGCCCTAGGTTAGAAAGGGCCCAAAAAATTAAAAAAAAAATGGTTGTATAGAAATTTTCTATATTTTTTATGTTGTTTTCATAAACAAGTTAAAATTAGTATCTCATTTTCCTTTTTTATTCAAATTAAAATGTGGTTAAAAAATTAACACTCTATTGATTGTTAATTTATTTTTCCCAATTTTTTATTTTCATAAATTCATCAACATATAATAGATGTATTATAATATATACTTATACTATACTTTTTTTAACAACATAATCAACATAAACCAAAATTTAAATTATAAAAGAATTAAAACTAAAAGTTAGCATATTAAGAAAGAAAAGAAAAAAGAGTAAAATACCACTTTAATTCTCGACTTTGTAAACGTTGTCATAATAATCCTTGAGATAATAAAAATGATAAATTTGTTTCCAATTTTTATTTCTGTCACACAAATTAGTCTATGAGCTTAGTGAAATGTTAACACCACCGATTAATTAATGAATCGGTACGTTCTGTACTACTATTCATTACCATGACTTGTCAAACACTCATGACAACTCGATAAGAACTTAAATGATAGAATTTTGGGATGAAATGACAGTAAGAAGAAAATCCAATATTAAAAATTTACATCAGTGCATATCGGATGAAAGCAATTTATTTGAATTATTTCATACATTAAAAATTGTGTCATGTCAGTATTAAGTAACTCAAACACAAATTTATTTTAATAATAAAAAAATTTAATATTCAACTTTTAAAATTTTTTCTAATTATTTATGAACTAAATTTAAATTTTTATCAAAAAAGATAATTACACTACAATGAAAGAAAATAAATTACGAGAAAAAATACACAATAAATAAATATTAAAAATAAAATAAAATAATAGTAAATACATAAACATTATACGAAATTAATTTTTATCATTATTATTTCTGAAACGTTCCCAAATATATTTAATAAAATCTGCTTGAAATCTGGTAAGGAACAGTTACTTGAGAAAATAACTCTCTCTTCTTCAAATAACTCATGTTGCCACGTCAGAGTCCTCCAATGACAAGAAATCGAGGATTGAGTTGCTTCATAGGACAAACAACTTAAGACTCTCTTCACTTCTCATAAATCATCTAGCTTTTTTTTTTTTTTTTCACTTTTCGTAGTTGATGTTCCTCCTTCATCTTAACTGAAAAGTGAACGGGGAACATTAACGTCATCTTATTGCTGTGTTTTTTGGTTGCAGTGGTTGTGTTTGTATTTTGCAAGTGCCTTTCTAAAAATTGGCATGGGTAAATAATCCATAAAATGTGAAAGGTAAGTTGACATTGATATGACGAGTGTCAACAATTTCAGTGGATATGGTGGTATTCCAAGCAAGTTGCAAAGCCAAGGCAATGAGTGTAGTGATCTTCATGTTTCTGAGAGTGGGAATGCTTATATTTCAATGCAAGTTCTTTGACAAGTAGTGAAAATTTCAGTGAAAATAACATTGAGTTATTAATTATTTGGAATTTTGGATAAAATGTTCTTCTTAGTTTGATACGGTATTCAGCTTATTCATCCCATATTTGTCTACTTATTTTTGTTTCTAGCTCGTCGTTTTTGCCTTCCTAAATATTAAGTGTTCAAGTTCTCGAAACTACCTCTCTTCTTCTTAACCAAAAAGGGAACATCAATGATCAATTGCAAAAGGTGAAAAACAAGAAAAAGAATGACTACAAGTTGCGAGAAGTGGAAAGGGTTGTCAATGGATTCGTTTAATTTCATTTATTCCTTTATTGCTTTTTTTAATGTCATTTCATCTGAAAAATCAATAGAAAATTATGTCATTTATCTCCCCTGGAACTAATTTGTGTGATAAAAATAAAAAGTTGAGAACTAATTTATCATTTTCTGGTATCATGGACAACTATAACATCACCTCACGAAATTATAGGCTAAAGTGATGTTTTACTAAAAAATATATTTATAATAGTTATGTTGGAATGCAAATAAAGTCTAATATCATTCAATGACACGAGTTTATATACACATAATTATCTCCATTGATTAGAGATTTTTTAGGTGATATCTAAAAAAAAATTGTGAAGGATTAGATCTAAAACAAATAATATCTTATATCATTGTGGAGACATATGTGAGGTAAAAACCCCTTGTTTGCACAACAAAGTAGTATTAGAGCCAATGATTAATTAAGTGATCGACTTAGTGAGTATGATCAAGTTGGTTGGTGGATCTAGGTAAAGGATCCCTTATACATATGTGTATATGGTAACTCCCGATGCACAATAAATAGTACATGAGAATGGATATGAGTTTATATTTACATAATTGTCTTCATTAATTAAAGATCTTTGAGTAATATCTTTTAATTAGTTGAGATGTTTGATTTACAAACTAGGTTAAGATTCCTAATGATAGCTCTCACGAGCATGAACTAGGACTAAGATTCAATTATAAATATACCTCTCACGATAACATGGAGATAAGTGTTGACTAAAGTCAACACCAATAAAAAAATAGTTGGGTAATTAGTTATATTCTCTTGATGAACTCACCACCATATTGCAACCATATAATTTTGCATGAGGCACCTTATACCTATTAAGTTATCCCAATTTTGACATCCTTATGTGTGTTATATATCCTTGATAGGAGTAAGGTTAACCTAATGCTACATTAAAAATGTATGAGAAGGGGATCAAGTTACTTGAGAGTGACTTTTATACAAATACTACACTTAATAATTTTATGTGTATATTAAATTACAATGATTCAACTTTTGAATTATAGGATTTTTGTGTATATCAAATTTTAGATAAATTGAATATTTATAATTAGTTCATCTTATAACTGATATTTACTTATAATTTAAAAATATATTACGTTTTTCATCCTATAAAAAGTGTCGTTTTTTGTTATTTTAAACAAACCAACAAAAATTAATAAATAGATGAAAGAGAATAGTAATTTTACAAAATTAACCTTATTACCAATCTTCTTTACTAAAAATGATAAACATAAAAGTACTTTCTAAAGAATATTATGAAAGTATAAATGGAAAATATGTGATTAATACTACATCAGAATGTTAACATGACACTTATTTTGAAACTTAATTTTTCTTCAAATACAAAATTTATTATGGGACAAATGAAATATATGTTAATTTGAATTTATTTAATAAAGTATAAATAGTTTTAAAACTTCATAAAAATTTGAAGACTTGATTTACTCAATAAAATCTTATAATTTAACAAATGAATACTTGAAATTTAATATATTAAGAATTAATAATGTAGTCAAATAACTATTAAGAATTACTAGTGACTTACTGGCCACTTTTATATAAATAGACATAATGGATATATGCATGAAAATCATCATCTTAAATGAGAACATAAATAGTTAATTTCAACCTTTATAATGAAATAGATAGATTAAATTAAATGATTCACTTAATAACCACTCCTATCATTATTATACTTACCACTTACATCGTTATAAATATGACTACTACATTATTAATTTTGACTAAAGATTAACTTTATTGTTATGTTTGATAGAAGAGAAATAAATAAAGGAAAAAAAAAAGAGAATTAAGTAAAAAATTAAAATTGTTTGATAAAAGGAAAGTAAAAGGGAAGATTAATTTTTTTAATTAATTTATGTTGAATTAAAGAAAAAACTAAATTGATAATTTTTCACATATTAAATATTTTATTATTATTTTTAAATTTATTTTTAATCAATTATGTTTGCTCTTCTTCACATTTCCCTTCGTATTTTGAGTGGAAGAAAAAAGTGATCTTATGTCACCTACTCTTCCTTTCTTTTCTGCATATTTTTGCTACCCCAAATAACTTTCTACAGTAAACATCTCACTTCTGCGCTCTTCTATGCTCTTCTAACATACTTTTGCGGTACCAAACAGTCCTGTAAGGGTGATAAATTGATTAGACATCATACTCCCTTCGATTTCAAACAAATACAAGGAAAAATAAAATAAAAAATAAAAAGTAACTAACATCTTATATGTTTTCTGAAAGATTTATTGGTTATATATTGATAGAGTAAAAAGTTTAACACCGTCTTCCAATCATATTTTAAAAAGAAAATGAAAACAATTATGAATTTATTAGTGTTAATAGGGTGATCGATTTCCACACTACTTTACACAAACAATGTAAATATGGAGGTGAACTGTCCCCACAGTGAGACAAAGAGGAAGAGAATAGGCAAAAGGAATCAAAGAAAAAGAGAAGGCTAGTGAGCAAGTTGAAGAAAAGAATGGGGACCCAACATGCAACTTTAAACCTCTCATTTTTAATGCAACCATAGTTTCTTTCTTCTTGAGGACTTCGAGGTTTCCGATGCAGCAGTAGTTGAAGTGTCTCCATCAGTAATCACGAAATATAATTTTACATTTTCCTCTTAAATAACACTGTTTTTTACATATATATAAATTCAGATAACATCATTA